TAGAAAGATAGGATACAAATGGAAATTATAACTAGCTATTCCAATACCAATTATATATTTTTATAAAGGGGACATTCCAAATGGCTGTAAACTGATAAGGAACCGCTCTGATTGTAAGGACATAGATTGGACAACATACACTTGTGTGCTGGGATTTCAAGTATTTGGTGAGTAATATATTCCTATTTAATATTCTTAAGTTTAAAATCAGTCTACTCTGGAAAATACAAAGATTATACTGTTCATAGAGTGTTTTAAATATTCTGCTGCTGTTTCTTTAAACTGACTTCGTAAATGGAATTGTAATATCAGTCATTCCAGTATTTTCTTTTTCATTAAATATAATTGTTTCGGTGGAAAATTGTTACAAATGCATAGGCATCTATTACAAATCAGAATTATTAGCAAATAATTATGTAACTTGTATCACAATGCCACAGCAAAACCTCAGTCTTTTGTGAAAGTTACCTGAGGTTGAATACAATTTGGGGGCACAGGTCTAGGCATATAACTTTTCCTTTGTTATCATAAGAAACAGGGTTCCCAATTGGGCAATTTTAAGATGTGTGAATTTCAACTCCCAAAATTCCCAGCCAGTATGCCATGGCTAATAATTCTGCAAGTTGAAATCCACACAACTTAAAGTTATCCAGGTAAGGAAATAGTGATAAGAAAAGACTGAACGTTTGTCATTAAATCTGTATTTGTTTTAAGGTTTCAATTCATTCAGTCCATTGTTATCTTAATATATTTCAATTATTTAAAAATGTGCCTCCTAAATTTGGGCAATAATAAGGTTTTTCTTAGTTGTTTATTAAAGTAATAAGAGGACTTAGAAAATATTTTTTACATTGGGTTCTGCCATGTCAGATAAAGCATTTGTCTTTTTTCATACATATAGGAGAAATTGTATTTCTAAGATAATTATTAAACATTGGATTATTTAGTTTTGATTGATGTATTCTAAATGGATGGCTAATCTCTTAAAATTCTTCTGAGGACAGATATAGAACTTGTAACTACCTAGAATTATTGGCTGACTAAGGCTGATAGAAATTTGGAGTCCAGCATCTTGAGGAGTATAAGTTTCTGTATTTGTCCCTTGTTTTAGTAACATTTTTATTCTTTTGTTTTTATAAAATGAAGGAGTATGGCCAGAAGGATCAGATGGAACAGATATAAATGCCAGTGTGAGGTCCCATAAGAGGAAAGTGATAGCTGTGGCTGATGACTTTTGTAAAGTCCATCTATTTCAGTATCCCTGCTCCAAAGCAAAGGTAAGTTTAGGGACAATGTTTTAGAGCAGGAATGAGAAGAAAAGTGTTTGTATACTATAAATGTATGGCTGTGTATTCAGCTTCACATGCTAGAATCTCTTGTGGAAATAACAGTTTCCTTTCCTATGCACCAAATTTCCCAGAATAGTTATTGTCCAATCTCTTCTTTAAAAACTCCAGTATTCCAATACTCACAACTTCTGGAGCAGGGTCCCCAACCCCTGGTCGGCGGACCATTACCGGTCCGTGGCCAGTTAGGAACCAGGTGTGCTGAAAGCGCATCTTCCACCTTCAGGCATGCAGCGAGTCTGCAAGGGCCTGGGCAGAGGCAGGACAGTGGCGGGTGAGAAGCCGTCTTGCTCAGTGCAAAGGTTCTCTCGTGGCTGCGCTTGCAACATCTGAGCTCTGTGTCCTTCCTCTTCTTCCTGGTCCTGCTTCTTCTACTATCTCTTCTTCTACCTCTTTCTCCTCTTCCTGGTCCTGCTTCCTCTTCCTCCTGCTACTCTTTTTCCTCCTCTTCTTCCTCACTTTCCTCCTCTCCCCCTCCTGGCACCCCAGATGGGCTCACGCTCTCTTTGTGCAACTCTCCATGTTTGCAAGATAAGCGCGCGTCACCCCAGCCTTCAACGGGGGGGCTTCTCTTAATGCCTCATTAGAGGGGGAAAATCTCCCCCAAGGTATGTATGTGTGTGGGTGTTTCTTTTTTCTCGGGGTGCAAATAGGGGCAGGTAGAAGCTATCTTTCACCTTAAGCACTGTGTCTCCAAGGGAATCTCTTGTCTGCACCTTTTCTAAGACTGCTGGGCTCTGTTGCACTTCAACTGGAGTTTTTTGCTTTTGTTTTGATGCTCCAGATGCCCGTGTTTTGGCAACATCTTGCCTGGTTTTTGTGGTTTAATTTGGTATGTGGTGTGTGTTCCTCCTTCCTTTGTGCAGCTCTCCAAGTTTGCAAGCTAAGCGAGCTCCTACCTGGCTTGCAGTGGGGGGGGGAGAAGCTACATTTCCCCTTAAACGCTATGTCTCCAAGATAATCCCTCTCTCATCTGCACCTTTTCCAAGACTGCTAGGCTTGTGCAGTGCTGAGTTGGTTTGGCCTCCCTCCCTCCCTCCCTCCCTCCCTCCCTCTCTCTCTCTCTCTCTCTCTCTCTCTCTCTCTCTCTCTCTCTCTCTCTCTCTCTCTCTCTCTCTTTTGAATGGTTTTCTCAGCACTTCCTCATTCCTCTTGAAGTTTCTGTGAGCTGCTTATCCCAGCAATCTTTGGTGCTATGCAAATGCAGTGCACTTGCAACCAGGGACAAGTGGACAACCAATGATTTCCAAGATTGCTGGAAGATGCAAACCAATTATTCTGGTTAGCAGCTTCCCCACTTCTATGACAGAGTTATTTACAAGAAGAATGGGACTAACCCATTCCTATGAAACTTGCACCCTTATTCTATAAGTAAAATCTATTGTTAGAAGATTTATATATGCCAAAGTGACCAGTAGCATTAGACTTAGATAGAATTCATGTTTGTGGTTTGCTAAAATGTACAATACATTGAAAAGATAAGATATATTTTTCCTAGTTAAATACATGTAATTGGAAGTTGAGTTAACCCTGTTTGATGTATAGCTTGATTCTAACACTGGTGTTTTTTATTTGTGTTAACAGGCTCCAAGTCATAAATATAGTGCCCATAGTAGTCATGTAACAAATGTCAGTTTCACTCATAATGATAGTCATTTGATTTCAACTGGAGGCAAAGATATGAGTATCATTCAGTGGAGACTTGTTGAGAAAGCAACTTTGCCACAGAATGATACTACTATAGACATGGGCACAAACAAAGTGCCTGTAATTGCCAGTGACAGCTTTACACAGCCAAGTATCCCTGTGTCCCTTAATCAACCATTGGATGAAATGGCAGCCAGTGAAAATTTAATGGATGGCTTTTCACCATCCTTCGAGAGTGACGTGGAGCATACTGTGAAGACCAATGAAGAGCAGAATGAGGAGCAAAGTGAGGGAAGCAGTCTGGATCCAGGGGAGCCAAATTGTGAAGAACCACCTAGTGAAATGAGCGAGGAACAGAGTGAATCCACTGTTATTGAAGATCAGCAGGAAAACTCTCCAATGTCTTATCAACTTGAAATTCAAGATGATCTTTAGATATTTTCTCTCAGTGCACATTATTTTGTAAAAAAAAAAAAAAGAGGATTCAAGTAAGGAAGGGAAGCAGCTCTGACATGGAACACTCAAGTTTCTGTGGAAGGCTTGTTAGTTTGATCTACTTCTGTTTTCAACTCATGGAATTATTGTAAGGACTCATTTTGACAGTTCCAGTCAAGTGCTAAATAGAAAACTAGAATGTTACCTTAGGTTATATATAATTCTGAAATTGCTAAGAGAAAGAGGCATAACTAAGGAAGAGTTTTCTGAGAGAAGCAGGTAGAAAATCTGGGAAAGAACTTTTAAGACCGTTCAGAAGCATTGGGTAATACCTGCTATGTAATGTAACCCTGGTGAAAGCCCTTCAGGAAGCTCGTCTTTCTTTTTTTACATTAAAAAGAGAAGGAGAGGAGAATAAGACAACATAGTGGCACATACAGTGCTGTGCTTATTGCCGTCTTGAGTAATACCTATGCAATTTTCTAAAACTAGCAATTCTTACTAGCCGCTACTTTAGATGCTGGTTGTTCTAAGACAACTCATATTAAAGTATACTTTTGTTTGTTCCGTGTTAGTAGATCTTAAAAGAACCAAATTAAGATAGCAAGTGCTGCTTAGTTTTCCAGCCAATGACAATGTAATTTCAAGGAACTACTTGCATTGACATACTAAAATTCAAGAATACCAACTGTGACTCTATTGCAAACTGACTTAACTTCATTAAGATAAAAGTTCTAATTCTCAAGTTCATACCTGACCTTCAGATACAAATTAGTACTTTCAGTAAGAGACTAAATATTAGAGAAATAGCATTAAGTTATAAAATCTAATGCTTGGGAGTAATGTAATTATTGACTCAGTTTTTTAAAAAAAATTAGGGATAACCTTAACATAAGAAATTTTCACACAGACTTTTCTACAGCCATCTTTTTAACAGCTGTAATATAAATGTCCCATTTTCTTGGATAATGTTGGCTATTTTTGAATTTTTTTTCTCTATTTGTGTGTTTCTTTTTTCTCTTGTCCAATTTTGTAAGCCGTGCAGCTCAGAGATAGCTGGACCTGGCCAGTTATGGGATATCATGGCATTTTATTATGTGTTAAAAATATCTTTTTTAAAAAAAAAAATTAAAATGCATCAGCTACATTTTTTCTTAAATATCTAAGTTTTCCTGTTTAAATGTTTGTTGAAAAACATCCTACTTTATATTTTACTTACATAGGATTTTTTTAAAATTGTGCTGATATTTTAGACCTTATTTAGAAATTGTGTTTAGAAACCTTCGTTAAGTCTTAAGTGTGCAAGCGTTTACGTGAATGTGCCATTCCAAAGTGCATCAGAACTGTCATTCCCTTCTATTAACTTCTCAGGAGTAAATACTACAGATCAGGTATGTAATCTACAATATTCATCAGTGGAAACATTAACAATTGACTTGGACTCCCAAAGGACATAAAGACTGTCACATACAGAAAGATACAGGTGCACATACATCTTTGTTTACATCCATTCCGGAAAACCTCAATATAATTATCTTCAGAAACCATGATGTGAATTCCAAGCAACTGATCTCTTTTGCTTTATCTAAAAAGCTGTACTGTTAAATGATATATTCGAATGCCCCAGTGTATGATTGGCCACTTTGCCAAAGAGTCCCTGTGGGCAACACACATACAAATACTGTATCAAGATAATGGATTCCTTTGAAAAGGAGGCATCTGCGAGGGAGGAGGCCCATTTTCAGTGATTTACAACTTTCCGGTCTGCTTCAGAGTTCTAACCACCCATAATAGATAGAGGAAAAGATGGAGAAAGGGGATTCATTGAACATTCTCCCCCATTTTTTTGTTCCACTCTATTCCACAGGGAGAGATTAACTGAATAACACAGCTTTTAAAAATGTAGTAAGATAAAATAGTTCTAGTAATTTTAGTTAACATGAAATGGTTTGTAGAGCTCTTTAACATCCTCAGTGAGTAACATGAAAACAGAGCATTTTGTTTGGATTTCTCTATTACCTTGAGGTTGCCATATAAAGTGAGAATTAATAGTTGTGATTTTCCTCATGTTATAGATTAACAGATTATTTTTAAATGCCAAAAAAAAGGAAAAAAAGCCTTACAATTTTTGATTGCTGGCAACTACTGTTCAATAAATAATTAAATCTGTGATAATAGAAATGGGTGGGATTATGTTAACTGTAAATGTTTTAGGGTAAAATTGTGAATGAAATATGATTTGAGTGTGTCATGTGAAGATGTTTGAGCCATTCTGTCTATCATGCATTCCTGTCTCATGGCAGAAAAATCTGAAGATTTAAAATAATAATAAAAATACAAGAATCAATGTAATGTAGCAGTCTCTTCTTGTTTGTATCTTTCCTGGTTGATATGTTTGAATTTCAGTAGTCTAAGGAAGGGCTGTTCCAGTTTGCTAATCAATTCAAGGCAGATGTGATCTGCTTGAGGCAGAGCAAATGAAGCCAACTCAATCTTTTTGTGTCAGAACGTATGATGAAGCTCCATGGCCAGTATCTGGGCAGGGCAAGAATGATTCAGGGATGTCCAAGTCAAAGTGCCCTTGCAGTCAGACTTCTACATATAGTAAAAACTTGAGGTGACCCATGGTTTCGTACATTCAATATCCTTCAGACAGAAATGATATAATCATTTCAATTATATCCATTTCTCTAAACTGAAAAACAATTAATTTAAAAGTCATGATAACCACCATCAGCCTTTATTCCACTTGGTGACCTCTATTTCCATTCTTATGTATAGAATAGAGCTGGAAGGGACCTTGGAGGTCTTCTAGCCCAGCCCCCTGTTCAAGCAGGAGAACCTATACCATCTCAGACAAGTGACTGTCTAGCCTCTTTTTAAAGATCTCCAGTGATGGAGGGCCCACGATTTCTGGGGGCAAGCTATTCCACTGGTTAATTGTCCTCACTGTCAAGAAGTTTCTCCTTAATTCCAGGTTGCTTCTTTCTTTGATCAGTTTCCAACCATTGTTTCTTGTCCTTCCCTCTGGTGCTTTGGTGAATAACGTGACCACCTCTTCTTTGTGGCAGCCCCCCAAATACTGGAATACTGAGATCATGTCTCCCCTATTTCTTCTTTTCTTTAGACTAACCAAACCCAAGTCCCACAGCTGTTCTTATGTTTTAGTCTCCAGGCCTTTGATCATCTTAGTTGCTCTTCTCTGAATTTTTTCCAAACTCTCAACATCTTTTTTGTGATATGGTGACCAAAATTGGCTGCAGTATTCCAGGTGTGGTCTTGGGTTTTATAAAACAGTACTAATGCCTCACATGATCTTGATTCTATGCCTCTGTTTATACAACCCAGGATTGAATTAGCTTTTTTGGCTGCTGTTGCATTCTGCTGGTTCATGGTTAAGTGATTGTCCACTAGGACTCCAAGGTCCCTCTCACAGTTACTGTTTTTAAGCCAGGTCTTGCCCAATCTGTTGGTTTTTCCTATCTAAATGTAAAACTTTGCTTTTCTCCACATTGAAATTCATTTTGTTGGATAGGGCCCATGTTCAAGTTTGTCAGCATTTTTTGGGATCCTGAGTTTGTCTTCTGGGATGTTGGCTACTCCTGCCAGTTTGGTGTCATCTGCAAATTTGATGAGTTCCCCTTCAATTCCCTCATCTAAGTCACTGATGAAGATATTGAAGAGTATTGGACCTAAGACGGAAGCTTGTGGTACCCCACTACTTACTTCTCCCCATGTGGATGTAGTGCCGTTGAGGACTATTTGTTGAGTATGGTTCACCAGCCAGCTACAGATCCATCTGGTGGTGATGTTGTCTATGCCACCTTTTTCTAGCTTACCAAAGAATAGGTTGTGGTCTACTTTATCAATTATTTTATTTATTTATTCTAATTTCTCTTTTAATTTTTTTAATATCCCTTAGAAATCTCATGGTCCGAAAATTTGAGTAAAACAATTTTGTGGTTTCAGGGTTTTTATTTTACTTTTCTGGCTTGGAGATCAGCCAGTATCCAAGGAGATACTGTAACTTTCTGTCCACAAAATTATTTCAGGTGACCACTGAATTAGGCTCCCTATCCAAACAGGTTACTTTGATTAGATTTAGGGGGTTTGTTTAAAGTATCTTACCTTCAGATATGAGTACTCCAGGAGCTTATTGGGTGTTTTGGAATATTAAAAACAAAGGCAAGAAGTATTTGCAAATACTGAACTATTTACCATCAAGGTTTTTCATACAAGGAATTGCTTTAGGTGTTGTTTTGGTGTCAATTGAATAGAACATTTTTTATTCATCAGAGACTCACCTCACTTTCAATATGATGTATTGGCCTAGGATAACAGTGGACAACCTTGGAAATCATGTAGTTTCTCATTTCTGCAGCCTCTGCAGCTTCTCAGTAATTCAATGGAAAATCATCAAAAGGTCAGTGGCTGAAGTGTCAGCCGTTTGATGGTAGAAAAATGAGAGGAAAAGCAGAGAGAGATCACATTAAGACAGAATTGGGCCTCCTTATCTCTTTTATATAAAAATTGCTCTCCCAGCTACAAAACTCTTGCCTGACTCTGCCAGAGGGGTATGTCTATGAAATCATACACAGAGAAGAAGATAGTTTACCTATGTACATAACAAATGTTTGGGTAAAATGTATCCTAAAACCTATTAGGCTTCTGAAAAAAACAACACCTCAATAACCATGTAATAAAGAATGCACAGGGTTCAAGAAATTGTACTGTAATTGGATACATGCACACATGGAAAGTGTTAGGTTGATCGTTTTCCCTGGGTGGAGATCCCTAAACCCTTCAATCTATACTATACTTTCCAATATTCCTGGGAAAAGCCTATTGGAATCCTGCCATCAAACACTTTTTCTTAGAAAAATCCTCTCTGCAGCTGAATTACACAAAGGTAAGTGAAGTTGTGGCCTATTTTTCGTATTTCCCTTCTTTTGGTGAGAACAGCTTTTCTGAGTGGGAGATGCATGTGCTAATCAGAGGTATTTGGGTAGGAAGTTTCAAAACCAACAAGATAACAGGATTCCAAGCACATTCAGGCAAAAGATTACCTGCCAATGCGAGAATAAGGAGCACTCTCCACTTTACAAGAATCCAACTTCGGAAGTAGTCTGAATCCATGACCTACTGTAGAAGGCCTTGTACAGGTGGGCTGGGAATACGTTTTTTGCTGTACAGTTTTGTATAAAAGCTGTGCTTGGATTCAGCTATATTGCTCATATTCTATATGCACACCTTTTCACTGAAGGTGTTCCATGGCAAGCCTCCTCCTGAAGTAATATTTTATAATGTATAAAAAAGTATGTGAATGAAAATCAGATGCTTGGCAAAATTGCCACGGCTTTTCATCAACTTGGGGTGGGAGTTTTTATAATCCTGAAGTGATTTGTTGTTGACCAGAGTTTGAGGGCTATAACCTGAAGCAGGGATACAATATTGACATGTTCCAAGCAGGCTCCTTGAGACTTCTGCTTGATCAGTAGATTCAGATTGAGGCAGATAATTATAGAGGAAGTAGGGCACCATTTTCCTTGAAAACCAAATGAACAGACCCGTGGGTGGAAAAACCTTTAAAAACAAGTGAGTAGACAGGATGGTAATATTGAAAGAGTCACAACACACAGAAAAAACACCAGCAATAGGTGTGGGAGAGTAAAAATAAAAAAGCAATATGTCTGTTCTAATGGTGCAATGCACCATCCCTTTTATATCTGTGTTAATATTTCTTGCATATAGAAGGGGGCGAGACTTCACATGGTGGCAGCCATTTTCTTGGCTAATTTTACCCTTTGTAAACGCCTTACATTCTGCAATCCTTTGAAGCCCCCTCAGTTCATGGTAAATGAAAGCCTATTTTAGGCCTAGCTCTTGTGCCTTGTAGGTTCAAGAGTGGTGGCTTAGCAGGAGGCAGTGATGATCTAAGCCCAGAAAGGAACCCTAACTTTGCTCCTGAAGGAAGAAAACACTCCACCATAGCAGCAAAAAAAAAAAAAAAGCCCTCTTCTTATTCTTTATTTTATGCCCAGCTGAAACGGTAAGCTGGTGGCCATTCAAATCTTAGGTTTGTTCCAAAAGCTTAATCATGCAGAAATTGAATGGTGATAAATGAATGCAGATAAGGAAACATACTATCCAGTGGTGGGATTCAGCTGGTTTGCACGCCGCTTGCTACAGGAGGCTGCAAGGCTCATCGTGCGGCGCAAGCGGTACAAAGAGCCACCTGGCATCTTGCCACGAGCAGCGGCAGTGGCACAATCAGTGTGACGAGCCTAAGGCCTGCAGCCAGGAGCAGCAGCAATGGTGCCATCGGTGCAATGAGCCTCGAGGACGAGATGGGCGGAGGAAGTGTGGAAAATTTTCCTGATCCACAGCTGCACCTAGACCAACAAGGTACGGTGTCCACCCTGCAGGATCTGGAGAGTCCGCTGGCAAACCTCTTCTCCCCAGCCCAATAGGAGGCACCTCCACCCACACCACAGCCCTGCAGTAGCCTGAATCTGGAACCTATGGAAACCCAGGAGGAGCCCGGCAGCAGCTTGCCTGCACACTCCTTGACCCAGATGGCTTGGAGCAGGGTGCTTCGGGGCTTCTGCCAATCAGCAGGGCAGCCTACATAAGATTGGTGTCACTGAAGGCAGCCTGGTGCCTAGCAAGAAGGCAAAGTTGTCAGAGGAGGAAGGTGAGTATAAGCCCCAGTGGAAAGAAGTGCCCCTTCTGAGCTTGGCCTGAATCTTGCAGGACTGGTCTCTAGCTTGATCCTCCAGCCTCCACTGGCCAAAGGCACCAAGGAGCCCAAAATGAACTGCAGGCAAGGCAACGGCATGCTGAGCATAATGGTGAAAGCCATGGCAGCCTTGTAAAGTGCCCTCACCAGGGTCTCATAGCTGCAAACTTCTCCCTGCAGAGAAGTGAAGCCTGCAGAAGCCCCTCTCTGGGCAGAGGAGCTCAGTACCACCTGTCTCCTTGGTGGCGGGACTTTGGCAGTTAGGACAGTGCAATGAGCCTCGAGGCCTGTTGCCGGGAGTGGCAGCAGCGGCATAAGAGAACTTGGACAGCAGCTGCAGAAGAACTTGGACAGCAGCACGACAGGTGGTGGGGTATTGGAGGTCTGGCTGCAGTGGTCCTAAGGTAAGTGGGTGTGGGGGCGCCTGAGGCAGCTCCACTCCCTCCCAACCCCACCCGAGCTCGATTTTTACACATGCGTCAGGTATTATTTAATTTTTTTATTAATATTTTCAAACTCTTTCTTATAATCTAGTTTTGTGTACCTCTTTTATTGTTCTTATTTAAGTATTA